TAAATAAAAACATCTCAAAATCTGACATGATCCAACCTGCAGCACACTGAGGGCCAAAGGCAGAGAGAAACGGCCCCCTCTGATAATTTCCTCCATCTCATTTCACTTTGATTTGACTCACATCACTCTTTCATGTCATTGTGTTTTGCTTTTTGGTTCGCGTCTCTCTGTGCTTTAAGAATGAGGACTGAGCTGGAGGAGATGCTTGGCTCTAGGCCTTGTTGCTTTATTTGCATTTCATCATACTCCTTTTGTGCCAGGAAATGGCCACCTGGTGGTGAAAGCCCCTTACTGCAGCCTTTGCTCAGTGAGAGTATGTGTGCTGCTTTGATGTGTGTGCCGTATAGGAGCTGTTAGTGCCCCCAGCCCCTCCTCTCCCTCCTTCCTTTGCCCTCCCCGTGTTCCCTTTCTCCTTCCCTTTCCGGCCTTTGTGCAGATGTATTTATTTGGGCTGAAGCAGAGACACTGGCCCTTAACACGCTGGGGCCCCCACCCCTGTTGACTCCTTTAAGCTGAGTGGAGATGAAGGTTGACAGGATAATAATGCTGATGTCAACACCACTTACAGGACAGTTATATCAGTATCAGCTCAGTGGGGGGACCTTCACACTCTGTTAGGCCGGCCTGTGAACTGTGCTGGAGGCCCCAACACACTCACTCAGCACTCCGTCTTCAGTTCTACGGCTCACAGGAAAATAAAAATACATATTTTAATATTTTACAGAAACGCAGAATACAGTGTAACTTTTGATCTTTGACATGTTGTTGTTGTAATTCATGTTTTAATTACTTCAGATATTTTAAACTATGAAATTTAAATAAATATGAATAATGTAGATTGATATAAAACTCAGAACCTCTTGACTATGAGAAAATAACTGTAAGTGACAGTAGGCCAACACATTGTGCTGCTCCTGTCCTGCACCCTATCCCTGCTCCCTCCCTCTCCTCTTATTCTCTCCGTCTCTCCACATCCCTCTCTCCTGGGTCTTCTTGCTGTGGTGCGGCGCTGTTGGCAAAGCGTGGGCGCAGGCGGCACACAGACGGGAGCACAGATGGGCAGCAAGCTGCGCAGGGCGGCTCTGCACACCTGCTCCATGCACACAAACACACACACAATCACACACAACCACACACAAACACACAAACACACAAACACACACACACACTCACTGAGAGCTGCCACCTCGCCACACAGCCCCGCTGCCTGCCACTATGCCACTATGGCACCATGGCACCGCAACACAGAGAGACAAACAAATACGTACAGGCACATGCATTCATACAGACAGCTATATGTCTGTATACTCAGATTCAAGTAGATTTATGTATAATCAAATTTAGCATACTGTAACTTTACTTTCATTTGAATCAACGTTATTTTAAGTTTCTGGCTCAAGTGGCTTGAAAAGATAAAAAGGTCATGTTCATGCACCTTATGGACAAAAGCATTAGCACATACACAGTATACCTCTGGAATGATAAAAGACTTCTGTTTAAAATGGAAATACCCGCACATACAGATTGGAAATATTAAAATCAGAAATATACATATATATTTAAATAAATAATAATAATGAAATAACATCCAATAAAAGAGCTGAGTGAACATCTGTGTGGGATAGTCAGGGGGATTAGGAGGGTTTGGAACATTTTAAGCGCATTAAGGATTAAAAAAAGGTCAGAATGTTTAGCAACATACCGATAAACCTCTTAAGCGAAACCCAATTGGGAGGCTGTACAGCGTTATCCTGTGTTTTGGGGAGGAGAAGAGAGCAGAGGGGAAGGAGCAGGAGGAGGGGGGACCACAGTTGACATTTGTTCCAACAAGGAACCGAATCGCTGGGAACCAAGAGTGTGTGAGTGTACATCTTGTTACACACACATACTGGGATGTATACTACGCCACTATTTAATCAGGTTTGACCTTTTAGCATAACTTTTATAGAAGCTTAGAATTTATGTAATCCCATCTTCAAACACATTCTAAAGGAAATTTTTATCAGAACATTCATGCTATAAATAGCTCTTTTTCCAAGGTACTGTTGCACCATGACAGTAATTGGAGTGCTATTTCCTTTTTCTAAATTAGGCAGTTAATAAAGGAGGATAGGAAAATATGTAATATGTAAAAGTAGGTGTGTCACTATATCGACTTATCGTTCAATATATGAAAGCTGGAACTATATTTTTATTCGGTTATATGATAAGATTTGATCTGAAGTGTTTCATTCTGCTGTTTATTTATTGCGGCTAATGATTTTTAACAATATTCTACATTTACAATAGTTTTTATAGTTTAAATCTGCTCTTGGTTTATTTTATCAGTGGCATAAATTACTTTCAATATTATCGTTTAGCATCTGTATTTTCTTCAGCATTATATAGTAGTAGTAGTTTGCATTTTGAAACCTTTATTACGATAGAACACACCTGGATTAGTAGACCTGTTTCACATTATGTTTTAGTTATATTGCTTATACAAATCATTAAAAATATTTACAAAAAGACTCATGACCATATGTACAATTACAGACTGGTAAATAGGGGTGCCTGTTCTGAGGTTGAAGTTGGGGTGGCTGCTGGTTAGAGGGGCATCCGGGGCTTTGCTGGAGGGAGGGCTTTAGGGGACTGCAGTTGGAAGATAAGGCCTGGATGTGTGCTTCAGAGACTGGGGGAGGCAGTGCCCGGGAGCTGGCACGACCATGATAACCAACAAGCAAACCACCACCACACTGCACCTCTCCCCTGTCCACACCAAAGCTCTCCATAGCTCCACACAGCACTGATTTGCACAAAGTAGAACCTAATAAAAGCATTTTGACTGATCCTAATATTGGAAAATGTAATATTCTTATTAACTTATAAACTGAATAGTGTTATGGTCCATCTAATCAAACCTTAAATAAAATACGCTGTTAGTAGTTTTAAAATATTTGAATAATATTTAGTAATAATTTGATCAGGAAATTGAAGTAGTTTACTTTCAAGCGTGCTCTATATCAAATATATTATCAATTACATAGTTATGGCAATATCTTGGTATTATGTTCCAGTCTTATGGGTGATGTTTAGGGTTGCAATAATTAATAATACTATACTATACAGAACTATATAGTCTCTAAAACACATAAGAAACATATATAACAATTAGTTGTTTTCATTAGTAATACACTTTATTCGTCAATATTCTTTGATATAGCCTTTCTGTGATATTTTAATCTTTTTTTAGTTGATAATGTATCTAACAAGTCTTAATGTACTTCAGAAATAATTAGTAAACTAGTTGAAAAAAATGAATCTCTAGTCAACTACTAAAATAATTGTTAGTTGCAGCCCTAGTGACGTTCCTGTCTAAAATGATGTCTAAAAAATAGCAAAATACAGTTGTGGACTGGATTATACAGAGTGCAACATTTGATGTGCTTAGTGTCATGTTCCTGTCAACTAAAAATGTCCCTACGGTTTTACGAGTTTGGCTCAGAGCCCGAGCTCTGCCGTGAACCCGTTTAGTTGTTTTGTTTATTTTTTTTTGTGGTTTGAATGTTAGAAAGAGCAAAACAGTTGGGTCACACTAGGCCAACCTTAAGAAGATAAGAAATAGTAAGAGAGATGTTGTACAATAGAGTGTCCAAACGAACTTACGATACTCCATAGGTCCATATATAGACTTGATGACCCAAACGATGGAAGTGTGAGATAGAAATACCCTGAATGAACCTCGTACAGTCCTGGAGTGAAATACAAGGCGGCTAGTAACTCGAGTGAAGTCTGGTCATTTAACCAACATCTTCGGTTGGCCATCATATATGTTTCCCCTGCTCAGTGCATAGTTTGCACCAGAGTGTCTGGGTGCATGTACGGTAGGGTGTAGCCTCATATGTTTGGAGCGAGTACCGTCAGTTAGCTGGAATGCAACGCTACAGCCAAAACTAAGATGGCTGCCAAGCTCTAAGATGGCTGCCAGGATTACAGTCGGTGAGTGAGAGACGGAGAAAGGGAGACATTCAGCAATAGAAGAGAAGGCAATGGGAATCTCTCTTATATTTGTGAGCTCTTTCACTGCTCGGCCGTCTGTCTCGCCTCTCTCTCTGGATAAGCACTTCTTCGTAGGCAGAGACAGGTCTGTTATTGTTTCTGCTCAGTAATCTGTGGCTTACTGTGGCTGCAAGGCAAGTGCTGCTGGCATGGGCCTGTGTGCTGTGTTACCCAAAAACTAGAGGTAAACACCTCCTTTAGCAAGCTCAGCTTCTAGTTAGCCTTCATCTAGATAGGCCAAAGTGACAACACAAGAACTTCAGGCCAAAAACCAGATGCATTCTAAAGTTTCCCCTGTGTTACAAGAAGATCAGGGCAGTAATGCAGCTGCAGGCTTTTTTCATACTTGTTTCCACGGCTGGGCTTGAAAAACATTGTCAAGTTTGAACATATTGAGCTTGTAAAATGAAGACTAAGTTTTTGTCTTCTTTATCAGAAATCCTACAGGGCTTTGCAGTTCAGCTGCTTATGAGGCCTCTGTTGTGTTACGTTTATTTGTGTGTCCATGCTGGGATTACATCATGTATTAAGTATGAAACCAAATTTACAGGAGAAAACAGATTGAGTGTGGTTGTGTGGGTGTGCGTTCATATGTGTGTAGATGCGTAAGGTGCTCTGTTTACAAGGACTAAATCCCTACCAGCAAGAAGGTATTAAATGGGATTAGCAAGAGGGATATGATTGCGTGGTGAGATACTAAATGGCATAGCAGCACTCTGTAAATCAAGACACCTCAAGTCAGGAAGGACAGCGAGTGATGGAGAACATTCTTGGATACATGCTGTCACACAAAAATGTGTGAATTCACACACAGATACTCACAAGATGTACACCATACACCGGCACATACTGCAGAGTCTCATATACTCACTAACACCTCCCATATCACAGTCTTGGCAACATTATGACATTGTCTCTTTTTACACACACCACTTATGTTTTTTCACTTTACCTTTTTGCAGAATCTGGACAATCAGACAGCTCCAGTCAACAGGGAGACACAGACATCAAACCACCACCTAACGGTAAGCTCTCCCACTCAGCCATGTCCAAACACTGTCAAATCAGCATACTAGAATTGATTTCATCGTGCTTATCGGCCATAACATATTCCAATTATAGATCCAATTAGCAAACACATTCACCCAGATGTTGATCCACAAACATAGTTGCAGATGGTCGAACTCTCAAAGGGGTTTGATTTCAGGTTTTCATTTAATCTCAGGCTTTGAATATCTGATGTGACAGTTTGGTCCGTTTGTGTTTGTCTGATGATGTGGTTTTCTGTGCAGGACACCTTAGTTTCCAGGATTGTTTTGTCACTTCAGGAGTGTGGAATGTGGCAGAGCTCGTCAGAGTGTCACAAAGTAAGTGCCACACACATTACGCACGAACATTATACCTGTACATTACGCATGCACATTACGCATTATCAATTATTAAGACCAGCTTGGTTATACGTAGGCATGTCACAGTAATTACTTTATTGATTTATCGTTCAATATCTGAAAGATGGAGCTATTTTTTTGGGGCTCAGTATTTACCATGTGAACAATGTATTTGCAATAGTGGGGAGATTTTTGTGATTTTTATGTAATAAGGTAAGATTTGAGCTGAAGAGGGTAGAATAATTCATTTTTATGGCAAATTATTGGTTCCTTCTTCTTTGTATTTGTTACACCTGAGGCCTTTTAATGATTCTGTTTATCAATTATCCTGCTTTGTGTCAGTATTTAGTTATAATATTATTATTGTTTATCTCAATATCACTCTGTACCATTATATCTGCTTCAAAACTTGTTATGGGACAGGCCCAGTAATACATGTGTTTGTTTTTTCCCTCCAGCTCCTGTAGCGACAGCATCAGGTCCTAACTTCTCGCTGGCCGACCTGGACAGTAGTCCCAGTTACTACAACATCAACCAAGTGGCTTTGGGCCGTCGTTCTCTGACCTCCCCTCCCTCAACCAGGTATTTGAATCTTTGATATTTATAAATATATATATATATTTTTTTTAAGAGCACCCTTTAATGTATGTGACTATGTAAAGAAAATAGCCTTTAAGACACTACAGCATTTGTGTTGTTTGTGCTTAAGTCACCATGTGGCAGTAGCCGTGCTATCCAAATGTGATTCTCTGTGAAGCCAAGGGCATACGAGAGGAAAGTGTGAAATCACAGTAATATCTGCCAACAGTATATTGGTTCTTAGTGGAAGAATGAGTTTTCTGGCAAAGAATGTTGTTTCACTGAGGTTTGTTACTATGAATGGCATCTGGTACTAAAGTTCATCTGCATACTTGGAGCCTGTCCTACACTTCTTGTACATGTTTGTGTGTGTCCTCTTGTTTACTGATTTATCAGCTTTCTATTGGCTTTTTTTTTAGCTTTCCTCTTTTATAACTTTCTCTCTTTCTCCACTTCTATCATCTGCTGCCGCTGTAGGTCTGAGGTGGAATTATACGCAAATCTTCCCCGGAGGTAGTTACCAACACAAGAACACAAAAACTCTCCAGACATTCAACACTTTACACAGTACAATGTTTACTGCGGCATTCCTCCTCTTCTTACTGTCTGTTCTGTCTCCATCTGATTCTCATCTTAACTCTAGTTTTAAGTGTGCCTTGTTTAGTACTATTGAATTTTACTGATATTTAAAAGATATATATATATATATTTTTTTTTTTTCTCTGTATGGTATTAGCTCCACCAAGAGAAAGTCTTTAGACGACAGTGAAATGGAAAGCCCCACAGACGATGTCTTCTACCCTGGACGCTCCCCGGCTGCCAGCTCTTCTCAGTCCAGTGTGTGGCCCAATGACATGGACGCAGGTACTCGTCTCCCTGTATCACCACTGCATCTGTTGACCTATTAACATGCTTAACTCACTTCTCATTAACCACCCTCCTGTTTGCTCTGCCTTTTCCCCTAACTCACCTGCTGTGACTGAAGCTATGACTGCACAGAGCCCAGCACACAAATAACACTGACTGAACACTATTCATTTAAATATTTTACCAAATTTGTTCCCAGTGATGGGAAGAATACTTTGAAAATGTATTTAGTAGCAGAATACAATTTTTCACAGTGTCACATTTATCTGACAAACAAATGTACATGTTAAGTGTATACACTTGTGTATATGTGTGTGCGTGTGACCATATATAATGCTGAACATTGTGAAAAAATACACTGAAAAATTTAATTGAATACTGAATACCTGCATTAAAATGTATTTTGTATTTTGATACATGTTCCAATCAGAGTACTGTGTTCTGAATACTTAGAATACTTTCACATGGAGTTGCATTTAAATTATGGTCTAAAATGCAACATAGGATTAAAAACAGCATTGTGTTTGTTTTAACGTTTTTAAAGCATTTCCTATCACTAATTGTAGATGTAAAAATCACACACTCAATCACCCAGGCCAGTCTGATTTCACCTACAGTTTTTTTTTTCCCAAATGATTTTAGTAACACACAGTCACTCTCAAGATCATTTTCTGTCTGTTCATTTGTTTCTGTTTCACACTCTACATCTCTGCCCTGACCCTGTCCCATTGTTAACAATACCCTTCTTGACTTTCAGTGCAGCACCATTTGGCGAGTGTGCAAGAGCGGAAGATAAAACATGAAAACGATGGCGTGCAGTTTCCTTACCATGGTTAGAGCATTGATTACACTCATATATCTTAATATATCATTACAAAGTACAGTCATTTCACTGTGTGTGCACAATATGTATGGATGTACCATATTATATACAGTATAGACTGTATTGTCCAGGTCATACTGTTACAGGTCATGTATTACCATAAGTATTTCCTTGATAACCAAAATTGTGCGATATGCATAGTCCTGTCACGAGAAATACTGTATTGACTTTTTTTTCAATATACTGAAAGATGGAAAATATATTTTGAAGTTCAGTATTTATTGTGTGCACAATTTCTTTGTAAAGTGGAGAGATTTGTAGTATTTTTGTTGTAATACGATAAGATTTGAGCTGTAGGAAGTTGGATAAGTCACTTCTATGGTTAATTATTGGTTCATTTTGTTATTTATTTGTTGCATTTCAGACCTTTTAATGATTCTCTATGTTTAAAAAATAGTTTACTGGGATTATCTTGAATTATTGTTATTGTATCAGTGGTATGAAGTTTCAATATTATTGTTTATTGCAGTATATCTCTGTAGTGATATATTGAGCTTCAAAATTTGGTATCGTGACAGGCCTAGCCGTATATTGTGGCACTTCATCCAGTGGAGTAGATTTTATGGAATTTGTCAGAAATGTGTGCACATCCTGAAGTCATGAAGTCGAGAGCTTAGCGTGCATTTCTTATCTTTTGTTTCTTGAGTAATTTTTCCAACATTACTTTTACAGACAGATGTCACAGAGCTAGCATTGACAACACCAGCAGGCACATTCAAGGCTGTTTGCATTTCTGCCTGTCTCTTCACACACAAATCTTCACAACCAGTCACTCACACAGACCCTGGCCAATTCATTTACCCAGGCCTCATGTCAATACACTCGCACACGTGATGACAGCCCCCGATATGCAGACATTCACACAAGAAAACACACTTACCACGCTCCCACCCCTGCAGGTGTTTAGGTGCTGCCCTGTGCTTCAAATCCCTCATTAAGATGCTTACCGTCTGTGGATCAAAGGTGTAAAAACCCGGCTCCTACCTCTACCGTTCAGGCTCCCACCCCTGTCTCCCTTCTGTCTAATTGAAAACATGTACAGCGGGAAGGGCCTGAGGGAGGGACCAGTCATGTCGGCAAGGAGAGATACAGAAAGCAAGGAAGGGAATAGGAAAAGGTAGGAGGTAAATGAGGGAAGAGGCCCTAGTGATGTGTGCTCATAGCATGAGGGCTAATGAAAGGAGGGTTAGTTGGTTTAGAATCTCAGCGGCCGCTCTCCTGCTCCACTTAGCTGTAAATGTAATTAAGAGGATGCTCATCAGAGGCCCTTCGTCTGGGTACTCATCCACAGCTTCACAGCAGTCTTCTCTCACCATACATAGAAGCTCTTGGAGTCTTTTTTACAGTACGTGCACTTGTGAAAATGTTATTGTTTCATATATTTAGATTAGTTTGCAATAATTAAGACATTTTAAGCATTTTTACCTTGTTCACCTTTTAAAAATCTAACCATTGTATCCCAGGCTATGACTTCTAAACACGTTATAGAGTAAAATACCTATACTTTTGAAAATGTACAAATCTTTGGACATAAAAGGATGCTATTTAAAGGCAAGAAATAATCATGTGGTTTGCTAAACGTGAACCCTTAGTAAGTGTTTTTAAAATGTGTAAAAAACCTGGAAAGTCCCCTTTTTCTTTCTTGAAGGGCCAAAATATGTGTGAATATGTGACTCAAGTATTGTGTGTGCACGTTCTAAAGGATCCCACCTGCCATAGACAAAGCCCATGAGGGAATTCCCTGTCCAGGTGGGCAACCATTCACACACACCAACAAAAGACAATCTACACAGGTGTGCCCAGTCTGTGCCCTCAAAGCACACACACACACACACACACACACACCCACACACACACACACACACACACTAGTGTACAGTATTAAGATGCATTCATACATATGAATCACACAAACAGTCCACACACACGTCCACAGCTGAAGCATGGTCCCAGATGGTGTTTCTGTGTGTGAGTAGCCTTGGGATCCACCAGGATGCAGGAGACATCTGCTCCACAGGGGCTACAGAAGGGGTGGGGGAGGTTAGTGGAGGCAAGTAAAAGACCCATGATTTCATATTAGTTCCAAATGATTGTGAAATTTCCTGAGACACAGGGGACTTGTGGTGTTGGGGGACACGCTTAGTGCTTTGAGTTAAATGTTACAGGCCCATGGAGGTTTATGGCTGCGCTTCCATATGTGGTTTCAATCAGTTCAGGCAGGAGGATTCCCTGACTTCTCCTCACTTGTTCAGACCCCTCTCCACTGTCTTTCTTTAGTTGTGTGTGTGAGCTTCTGCTTCAGAGGCGCATCTGGTGGTAGGCCTGTTAGTGCAAAGAGACAGAAGGGTCATCAAGGGAGTGCTTGATTGGTTGCCAGTGAAAGACGGAGGCTTGCCAGAAGAGGAAACTGTGCAGTTGTGGCACAAACACACACATTCACAAACTCATCCACCCTTTCTCGTGGTTTCAGATATTGTCTTGCACATTCCCATAGTGAGAGTTACAGCAT